GAAACAACCGAAGGAGGTGGTGCGCCGTGAATTATTGTGGTGAAACTATTTCACCATTGAAGAAGGAAATATTTCAGCGTTGAAGAAGAAAAAAACAAGAAATGAAAAAGAAGAGGGAAGAAGATAATGAGCAAAAGAATGATAGTTTTGTTGTATTACACGTGTGATAGTCTTATCCATATATAGTGTGTTGCTATCACTTAACAACCAATCAGAAAGTTGTAACTAACTAACTAAAAATAACAATATTAGTAAAGCTCTTTTTTATCCACAAAATTACAGTAAAACTATCCCATTTTTTCTATAGTCTTAACAGCCCCTCTCAAGCTAAGCATGGTGAATGTTGATCACGCCAAGCTTGGAAATGAACTTGTTGAAAGTTGAAGTGGATAAAGCTTTGGTTAGGAAATCAGCTAGTTGCTCATGAGTTGAAATTGGTAGAAGCTGAAGTAAGCCTTGCTGCAGTTTTTCACGGACTAAATGACAGTCAATCTCAAGGTGCTTAGTTCGTTCGTGAAATACCAGATTGAGTGCAATATGTATTGCACTTTGGCTGTCACAGTATAGGACAGAGAGTTTGGTACATGTGATGTGTAATTCCTACATGAGAGCTATCAACCAAAGCAGTTCACATGTAGCAAGAGATAGTGCCCGATACTCTGCCTCTGAAGATGATATGGAAACAATATCTTGCTTCTTCGCACGCCATGATATAAGAGAAGTTCCAAGGAAAAAGCAATAGCCCGAAATAGACTTTCTTGAATCAATACACCCTGCCCAATCTGAATCTGAGAAACCAAGAAGTTGCAATTCAGCATTCCTACGAAACAGAATTCCTCTACCAGGGGTATTCTTCAAGTAGCGTATGACTCTGCAAGCAGCATGGTAGTGTGTCATTGTTGGATTGTGAAGAAACTGGCTGAGTTGTTGGGTGGCATATGTAATGTCTAGACGTGTTGTGTTAAGATACATCAAGCGACCTATTAAACGCCTATAAGCTCCAATGTCTTCAAAGGCTTTGCCATTATCAGCATGTAGCTTGACAGATGGATCAAGAGGTGTGGGAGCTGGTTTAGATCCAAGCATACCAGATTCCTGCAAGAGATCAAGACAGTATTTTCGATGTGATAAAGAAATGCCTGCCTTTGAGTGAGCAACCTCGAGGCCAAGAAAATACCTCAATATTCCCAGTTCTTTGAAGTGCTAGCTTGATACGATCAAATTCAGACATATAAGTGCCAGCTAAGATTATGTCATCAACATATACTAAAATTGTTGTGAAATGTGCATCAGTTTTTAAAGTAAAAAGAGAGTAATCAGAAGTAGATTGAGTGTACCCTTGGTGTAATAAAAGAGCAGTTAACTTTTCATACCATTTGCGACTTGCTTGCTTCATACCATATAAACTCTTCTGAAGTTTACATACCTGATTAGGTTTGTGACATGGAACCCCTTCAGGTATGGTCATGTACACATATTCTTTCAATTCCCCGTGTAAAAAAGCATTGTTAACGTCAAGTTGGTGTAAAAACCAATTGTTGATAGCTGCGGTCGCAAGGAGGGTTCTGACAATTGTAAGCTCTGCTACTGGTGAAAATGTGTCAAAAAAATCAAGTCCTTCGATTTGATTGTAGCCTTTGGCCACAAGTCGCTCTTTATACCTCTCTATCGTGTCATCTGCTTTATGTTTCACTTTGTACACCCATCTGTTACCAATTGGTTTTACATGTGGTGGCAAATCAACTATATTCCAAGTTCTATTCTTGTCTAATGCATTTAATTCAGTCTTCATGGCTTTGGTCCAATATTCAGATAGACATGCTTCTTTGTAAGTCTTTGGCTCATGAATGAGAGTGATATTATATGCAAAAGCACGATGAGATGCAGACAGAAAATGTAATGAATCATAATTTGAAATTGGATAAATAACTTTGGATGTACCTGATGATGACTTGACTGCTGATACATCAGATGTATTGCACACATAATCTGAGAGATAATGGGGTGTTTGTTTGGTTCTAACAGGTCTTGACTGAGTTTTGCAATTTTCAATATCAGGCATATGTTGGAGGTCATGGTTCTCATCAGTGTTTTCTACAGTTTCAGGGTCAATGTTAGAGTGATATAATGTGTGATTGGCTATGGTATTGTGATGATCATATTCTTCAATAATAGGTTCAATATTCTGTGATGGAACATGTTGAGGTGAGTCAATGGATTCTTTGTGAAGATGATAGTCCCAGTTAATAGAATTGGTATTTTAATAGGGAAATATGTGTTCATGGTGTATGACATTTCTAGAGACAAGAATAATATGATTATTAATATCATAGAGTACCACACCCTTCATTCTATTCTTGTATCCTAAGAAAACACATTTGCGAGCTCTTGAATCAAGTTTTGATCTATGCACATTTAAGGAGGATGTAAAAGCTAAAGATCCAAACACTTTGAGACTATGCATATCTGGATGCTCATTATGTAGTATGAAATAAGGAGAAAGGTTATTTAAAGTTTGGGTAGGGAGTTTATTTATAATGAAGGTGGCATGCAAAATAGCATATGACCAAAATTTCTTGGGAAGCTTGGGCTGAAAGAGAAGGGCTCGTCCAACATTTAATAAACGTTGATGTTTCCTCTCCACTCTACCATTTTGTTGTGGAGATTCAACACAACTGGTCTGATGAATGATTCCCTTAGAAGCATAAAATTTAGGAATATGAAATTCAACACCATTATCAGTTCTGATAATTTTGACAGAAAACTGATGTTGATTTGCTATGAGACTGACAAAAATTTTGACATGTTGTCTAGCTTCAGACTTAGCTTTCATTAAGGTTATCCATGTGAATCTGCTACAATCATCAACAGCAGTTAAAAAATATGAATGACCATGCAAGGATTGGACAGCAAGAGGTCCCTAAATATCAAAATGAATCAATTCATAAGGATGAGCAGCTCTATTATTGCTAATAGTATAGGAAAGTTTTCTTTGTCTAGCATAACTACATGCATCACAAACATCTTTATGGTTAACTGTGATGAAGGGAAATTGGGAATGTAGGTACAAAAGTCTGTTATTGGATAAGTGTCTTAATCTAAAATTCCATAAGGCTTTTTCAGGTAAGGTGACTGTGGCTGCTATAGCATGTGAAGCATTATCTCTTAATGTTAAGTAGTACAATCCATCCTTTTGCTCAGCAGAACCAGTCATCCTCAGGGTGACTTTGTCCTGTATAAAACATTGTGAGTTGAGAAAACTGATATTGCAATTAGAAGATTCACAAAGTTTGGAAACAAATAAAAGATTTAAAGAAAACTCAGGAAGCAAAAGGACATTGTGCACAATGAAATCAGGGGGAAAATGAATTGTACCAGAATAGCTAACAACAAGACATTGTCCATTTGGCAATCTAACACTGATTGGAACAATTTGCTTATATTAGTGAAACCATCTGATAGAACTACATATATGATCAGAAGCTCCTGAATCAATGATCCAAGAACTATTACTACTATTATGCATGCAATGAGAGGTGTTACCTGTTGATAGATGACCAACAACAACTTGATTAGAAGAAGCACATCCTGAAGATTGGCCAATGCTGAATTTCTGAATTAGCTCCATTAGAGTGTTGAATTGACCTTGAGTCATAGGTGAATTATCACTTTTGATGTCAGCACCATTAGAAGAAGATCCATCATCATTGCCATCTGATGCAACATTGTTAGCTGAATTCTGAAACTGCTTCTGCATATGTGGTGGAACACCATGTTTCTTGAAGCAATTTTCAACAGTGTGATTATTCTTGCCACAGAAAGTGCAGACACGAGCTCCATGCCTGAATGTATTGTTTCTTGCACCATATTTCTTGGAATCAGCAACATTAATCAAAGTTTGGGACTCATCATTGGAAATAGGAAGTTGAAGTTGTCTCTCATGTTGAATAACCATGGAGAATATCTTATTCATATTTGGCAAAGGATCCATTAACAAAATTTGGGACTTAACAACAACAAATTGATCATTCAAACCAGTCAAAAATCTGATAACTTGCATTAGTTGATGGTTGGATCTTGCACTGCGCATAGCTTCACAAGAGCATTTGATGCGACATGTGCAAGTTGGTAAAGGCAAATACAAATCTAATTCTTCCCAAAAAATTTTAAGTTCATAAAAGAAATCAGTTACCGATTTGGTTTCTTGCTTGAGGTTGTATATTTCTTGTTGTAGCTCAGAAATACGGATGAGATCGCCCTGAGAGAACCGTTCTTTCAAGTCATTCTATACATCAAGCGCATTCTCCAAGAAGACGATGGACTGTGAAATGGAATTTGAAACTGAATTCATGATCCAAGAATGAACTAACATGTTGCAGCGATTCCAAGCACGCAAGGATGGAACGAAAGAATCAACGGGAGCAGGAAGAGATCCATCAATGAACTCAATCTTCATTTTTCCACCGAGCGCCCTCTTCATGCTTCGAGCCCATGAGTGATAGTTAGAGCCAGTAAGCTTAGGAAGAACTGTAACCGAATCGGGGCCATCACTGGGATGAACGGAGAATGGTGAAGTTTGATCCAAAGATGAATCAATAGGTGAAGCTCGAGGAGGAGTCATGGATGCAGAGGGAAGGACGCATGAAATAAAGCTTCAATTGAAAAACAACGGAGTAAGGATCGAATTGGCGAATGATACCATATTGTGGTGAAGCTATTTCACCATTGAAGAAGGAAATATTTCAGCATTGAAAAAATGAAAAAGAAGAGGGAAGAAGATAATGAGCAAAAGAATGATAGTTTTGTTGTATTACACATGTGATAGCCTTATCCATATATAGTGTGTTGCTATCACTTAACAACCAATCAGAAAGTTGTAATTAACTAACTAAAAATAGCAATATTAGTAAAGCTATTTTTTATCCACAGAAATACAATAAAACTATTCCATTTTTCTATAGTCTTAACATGAATGGTCGGTGATGCCCGTCGTTGTGGATTCAGCGGTCGGAGGCTTCAAGATGGATGACCGTCGGAGCAGTGTTGCGGGTACATATCTGTCGATGTTGTTGCGTTTGTTCGTAGGCGTCAGAAAGAAGCATGGTGGCCCGCGGTGACTCGCAGAACGTGGAGGCGGATTGATTGTTGAACGACGGATACGTGCGGTGGTTTGAGAGGTTGATCTGTGATGACATCGTGCGATTTCTTGTTTCTTGTGTTACTCTGTTTCGGTTGAATCTGTTGTATCTTTGTTTAAAATACAACACACATGATGACTGTGTGAAGATTGAATTTTAGAACAAAGAGCAAGTGCTCTGATGGTGATGATAGTGTAGATCTGTTAAAAAAAGGTTGTGTTAATAGATATTGTATCAGTAGGTTAGAAATTAGCGAACACTTTAAAAAATGCACTTTGTGAGAATTTTATGCTATGCATCAAAAAAAGTGAATCGAGGTGTGTGTAAATTCCCAGTAATAGCAATGCTAAAACCATAAGCTAACCCATCAAGCAATAAAAAATATATACCTTTGTTAGTGCATCTTAAAATTAACGCATACGAAAAAATATACTCACTTGTTATACTTACATTTAAAAGAGATTATTATGTATTATAACAAAAGGGTAATAACAATGAAACAATTTACTTAGACGAACTACAAATTATCAATAAATTTATTAAAACAAAAAGAATTTAAAAGTATGATTGATTCTGATTGAATTGTAAAAGTTATTGATATAGATTTAAATAAATAAAGAACTTTTAAAATATTTATTATTTGGTTGAAAGAAATTAAAATAAAAAGGAGAGAGATCTCATATGAAAATCATCGGCCAAATCAAAGAAATAACATTAATAGTAAATAATTTGTAAAAATCAAACAGTATGAAATTCATGGATTGTGAGAATCGTGAATGTGCGAATGATTGTTGATGAGATTGTTCTTAGGTTGTTGTCTGTTAAAATCAGCAACCGTAGAATAAACCAAAAAAAGAATTGTAAGAGCTTGAAAGGAAGATAGCAAGTTTGTCGATGTTTTTTAGATTTGTTTCTTAGAGTTTTTGTCCAGAAACTCTTGAATAAATCAAATGTAAGAGAAATATTGAGATTGTGAAATTGCGGATGAAAAATTACGATGAAAGTTATCCAAAATACTGAAAAGCTCAAAGTTTAATCTCTAAAAAGAGAAAGAAAATTAGTAATAAAAAGTCCAAAATCTGATGACTAAAATGGAAAAGAAAATTAATAATAAAAAATAGAAAAAGAAAATGTTAAATATGCAACACAAGAGATTTGAACTCACGATCTCATACTTGCAAACTTCATTTCTTATAAAATGTGTTATGTCACTCATTTAAAATAAAAACTCAATTGAAAGTATACGAAAGCGAACAAGTATTTGTTGTTTAATATACAATTAATTTGAAATAACTCATTATATATTTTTAAATGAACGAAATAAATTATTATTAAAATATTAGTAAAATTGAACAAAATAATATTATAAAAACCAATGTTAAAAATATTTTTGACGGTAGAAATAAAGGACGGACAAATTTAGGATATGACACATAGTGATCACCATCCAGAAACTTCAACAAATATTGTAATTCAGTTATCAGTCCTCTTATCAACTTGTTGTTTATGACACAACTATTGTATAATTGTTTGATGTTTGAGATATTTTGAGGTCTTTTCTTTTTCAACGTTTCAAGTATATTTTTGGGCGGAATCATATTCAATGTCATGTCAAAAACAAGTTCATTCTCCTCAAAATTAAAACGACATACAATAGAATGATCGACTAATTTATAACTCACATAATAATTATGTATACTTGAAACCACATTAAATTTCCATTAATATGCACACATCATAAAAAGACAATCACAATTTTTCAATCCGGCGTCATTTATTTCAACTTCCTAATAGATGGTTGGTATACACAAATTCTTTGACATCTAATTGTTACAAATATCTGTCTTATACTAAAACTATTATCTGACCTTCCAAATACAAGAACCCGACAAAAAAATAAATTCATATAAAGTGTAATTTTCACCTTCACATATACATGCACTCCTTTCACCTACAAACAAAGAAGTAAATTCATGATAAGGTTGATAAAAACTAACACGAAACCAACATTTACTTTCCAATATTATAAAAAATGAAACTTAGGCCAACGACTACTAAAGTAGTAAGTGAGATATGCCCCTTGAAGCATGCATATAAGCAATAATTATATTAATTTTGTTCTTCTATAAAGGAACCAAACAAAACAATGGAAACAAGCAAAGATAAAGCAGACCCACCAACCACAATTCCTGCTTACTTTTACTTTTAAGGAAAAAACTAACAGCTCTAAAAATACATGTTAATAAATTATTTGTAGAAATATTTTCTTAAAATATTTATATTTAATATTTAAAATTTTAAATATAATTTTATTATATTTAATTATAGTTAAAATTTTCTAATTATAATATTTTTAACATTTTAGTATGATCCTTACTTTAATAAAATTTTAATAATCATCTACTTCAATTAAATTCATTAATTTGATAATAATAGTAATAATTAAATCAAAAACATTATTAATGAAAATAAAACATCGCCGAAAGAAAATATTTGTAGTGTAGTTGTAGATTTTGTTTCCGTAAGAGAATCATGACAGCTCAAAAAGCCTAAAACAAACAAAACACAATTTGTAATGTCATTTTCCCATATTTTATTATTACAATTTATAAGATATTCATAAAAAAAAGGATAACTTTTAGATTTGGAATTTTTTATAGTAATTATCATATTTTAAAATAAAAAATATAAATAATTATGTTTCAAAAAATGTTATAATGTAATAGTCATCTCATATAATGTATATATTACTTTTTTTTAAGGGAGACGTCATCTGAGATGGTGCCTAGGTACAAATTTCTTTTTTATTTTATTTTATTTTGTTAAATAATTAAAAGGCAATGTCCTTGCAAATGAAAATTGATTTTCAATAATAATTAAACGAGTACATAATGAGAATAAAAGTTACACATTATTTAGTTGTCTTTATGAACTTGATAACGATCCGTAGTTTCGCACCCGCGTCCTCGCCTAACTCGTGGTGCGTTTCAACGTATTTCCTGTTGTGGTTGGGTTGAGGGCCCTGCAAAGTCAATGCGTTCAGGATCCATGAATGTTGTTAGATCATCATATTCGAAAGATCCGCTTTCAAACAGTCGATTACCTATGCCCTCAAAATTTGATCGTATTGGTTAGGGGTGAGGTTTCATGGGGGATCGATAACACTGATCGTTTGAATAAGGGGGGTAAAAAGAAAATGAATCTTGTGGGATTTGGTATTGTGATTGTTGAGTGCTATGGTGATATGATGATTGGTGGTAAGTTGGGTTGGTTGGTGAATATTCTTCAGGTTGGCCAATGTCTAGGCTAAGGTGAGATGACGAGGGGCCCATATTAGAATGACGGGGGCCTACATTAGGATGACGAGGGCCAATGACCCTCATTCTACGCGTGTTTACTACATTAGACATATTGTACAAACTTTCACGAGGGAGATCAAAGACAAGGCTCTTAGGAAAACAATTATGAACGCGAGGTATGCATTAACACAACCTTCATTCAAACACTATCGCAACGAGATCAGATTGTCAAATCCGTATACAGATAGGTGGATTGATAATATTCTAGTGAAAAAATGGACAAGGTCATATGACAATGGGCAACGACGGGGCCACATGACAACAAATCTTATTAAATCAATGAACGACGTATTCAAAGGCATACGAAACCTCCCAGTAACCGTTTTGGTGAAATCAACATATTTTAGGATGACTTTGTTGTTTGCAAAAAGAGGTGAAATGCGAAACACGGTCTTACAATCAGGACAACTATGAAGTGAAAGTTGCATGAAATATATTAAGGCAGAAGGTGTCAAAGCCAACACCCATCTGTTATAAGGTTTGACCGACATAGCCACGACTCCATTGTCAAAGAGACAATCGACCACAACGAGGGCTGCCAAGACAAGAGTATATGGTTATACTACCATCTCGTTGGTGCGATTGTGGAAAGTTTCAAGCCTTTCGTTTGCCTTGCTTTCATGTCATTGTGGCATGTACGTATACTCATCAAGATGCATTACTACTTCTATCTCCCATTTACAAGTCTGAAACCTTGCTTAGCGTATATACAATGGCTTTCCAGTGGTAGCGAAACCTGATTATTGGCCTGCATACGAAGAGAAAATAGTATGGCACAATGATCAAATGCAAATGAATAAAAATGGTCGTCCCAAAAGCAAGCATATCACAACTGAAATAGACTCCCTTGAGAAGCTAGAAAGAAAGTATGGTTTATACCGCCAGGTCGGACACAATTGAAAAAATTGTCCCACTCGTGCTACAAGTCCGACAACATAAAAATTATATGCAAATTATCTGCACTTTTTTAAGATCTAAACATAATTTTTTTCCATTAAGAGCATTTGTTACAACAAACCATCCGCAAACAACAAATAAAAACACATCACCACCATTACGATAAAATATAACATGTAAATATAACATCAACAACACGATAAAACATCTAAAAAATTACAACCGTTAAAACAATTTCATCTGAGCCATGCATCATCACCATTACGTCTTTGTCTGTTTTGACTTCCTCCAACAAAGATTGAGGTCTTCCAGTTGCAAGTAAGGTGAGCGTTCTTTTTCTCTGGATCCTTCTAATTTGTTCTCCAGCTTCGATGTCTCCCTCTAGTCATCACATCAACTCTCTCTTCAGGCGCTCCATGGAGTGAATATGCCAAAATTTCATTTTCATTGGAGGTTTGATGGCCGAGAAAATAACGTACTCATCTCTGGTGAAAATCATGGGAGATGTCATGATGCAAAAAATAGAGAAAATGAGAAGAGAATGTGAGAAAGTGTGAAGAATGATGAAGAAATATATTTTATTTATAGAAAACACACTTGCATGTAGGAGTCATCTCAGATGACGCCTCCTATCTATATTATAGTGTATGTGTCATCTCACATGATATAAAATAAGTGTATGCACCAAGTGAGATGACGTTTAAGAACAATAAGTAAGAGCATGCACCATCTGAGTTGACTCCTCTATTTAAGTGTATTCTGAAACATGGTTATTTACTTAATTTTTTTCAAAATATAATT